CTCCTGCCCTTCCCAAATCACCACGGAATGGCCTGTCCACAACAGGCCCAAACCTTCCCGGAGACCTGAGAAGCAGCCAAAGTTAATTCATCTTTCCTCTCCTGCTCCATCAAAACGAAAGCCCTTTCAGTAAAAAAAGACTCTGAAATGTAAAGATTTCCCCTGGTAAAAATGGTATCAAATTACAATAGTATGATGTAGTCCAAGAAACTCTAAACTGTCTGGGAAAAGGTGGATTAATTTGTTTAACAAACATTCATTGTGTTCCTACCAAACTCCAGGCCCTGGGCCAGCTGCTGGAGGCTGCAGTGTTTGGGGAGTATGTCATTTAGCACAGAGCTTCTCAAATATTAGTGTGGGTAAGAATCATTTTGGAAACTTGTTACAAATGCACATTCCTGAGCCCCAGCCAGAGCTTCTGATTGCTCAGGTGGGGCTGAGGCTTAGGAAGTTGCATTTTAAGCAGTGTCTAGGTGATTCAGAAGCCTCTAGTCTTTGGTCAGTACCTTGAGGAAGGCTAACCTAGTGAGTTTTTAAATTCTCATCAGTTGCTGAATTAAGTCACTTAAACTCTGAGTGTTAGTTTTAATTGGAAGATTGGAAGAGATACATGATTTCTAAATCCTTCAGGGAAACTTAGAAAGACTTCCTGGAAAGTCTCTCTATTGGATAACAGCACACCAAGAAGGTACCATCTCTTACCATCTCTTTCGTTTACTTTATCTATTCTGTTTACCATATCAATGTTATACTTCAATTTAAAAGTTTTTAAAGAAAGTAGAAGGCCAAAAGGGTAAGGGGTTTAAAGGTGCCATTCGAGAGAGAAGTAGGGAAAAGTTTGAGTACTTGCAGCAAAGAAAATAGGAATAAGAGAGAAATTCAGACATCTTGATGAAAGCACCGGATGAACTCAGCAGCTGTCATAGTAGAAAGGGCTGGAAATGGGAATTAGCAGATGTGACTGCCAACAGGTGAAAAAGTTCAAGTAGCATGAGTGAGGCACCATGGGTAGGGAAGGAAGGAAGGAAGGAAGGAAGGAAGGAAGGAAGGAAGAAGGAAGGAAGGAAGGAGGAAAGGGGAGGAAGGAGCAGACAGAGAGAGGAGGGAGGGAAAAAGCAGGGGGAAGGGAGGAAGGAGAAGGACTGTGTGTAAAGAAAGGAGAAAGAGAAAAAAATGCAAAAAAGAGGCCATAGCCCCAGGAGAAGCTTATAATATTGTGGTTGGACCTGCCCCATGCTTTTGAGCAGGTAATTTGCTTCAGTCCTATATGTGCTGGACCTCCCAAAGCCATCATTAGGAATAAAAGACTGACACATGTGAAATGTGATTTGTAAACCATAAACAGCTGCTAAATACTGCTTATTAGGAATACATTCTGGTTCAAGATTGGGACAGCTGCAAGTTGGATAGGAGCATGTGGCCAGGTTCTGCTCCCAGTGACTTCCCACATCTTTCCCAAACCTCACCACCAAATACATAGAGGTTGAGTGAGAGGTTTTCTCTCCTTTTATTTCTGCTCTGACACAATTGGGATGCGCCTTTGTGCAGGCCCGAGTATAAGATGCCTTACCACTACCACCACCCGCTTCCAGCTGTTCCACAGACTCGCAGGAGCCCTCCCATCTTCTCCCAGGCAGAGCCAGCTGTTGTCACAGAGCCCACCTGCCTCCTCTCTGGACCAGAGGCCTCAGCAGAGACCAAGGCAGCTTGCTGGAGGGCCTTGGAGAAGGAGGGAAAACAAGACAGGCACTAAAATTAAATGGATTGTCTACAAATGTTTTTTTAATTAACATTGTGATTCTTTTTCAGAGCAGAAGAGGCTCTTTGAGAACAATCGCATTCCCTGAGTGGCAGGCTAGGAACTCAGCAGCTCTGCCCAAAGCCAGGGAGGGAAAGGAGGTGAGAGCAGAGAGGTGATGGATGATGGGAACTTCCCCCTTTGATGGAGAAGAAAGCCAAAAGGAGCGGTGGCGGGAGCTGGAAGGAGGGATTGGTTCGGTAACTTCCCAGGCAGGGGCTTCTGGGAGAGAAGGTAGAGCTTTTTGGGAACCCTGAAGCTGGGAGTTTTGCGTTTTCTTTTGTTCCATGAAATTATGCCACTTTCTCCCTTCTGGCCCTTGGAGAACCCCCAGAAACCAGCCTGGAAACTGCAGCGGGAGCTACCCATCACCTTTGCCTTGTGCCCTTCCGACACCCCGTCAGGAGAAAGAAGGAATCCAAGAGGGCGTGGGGGGGGGGGAGAAGGCTGTGGGGGAGACAGGTCAGAAAGCCCACTAGGAAGAGAGGCCCTCAGAGAGGCAGGGTGTTCTGGACGAGAGAAGGGTAGAAAAAGGAAGTGGCTTCAAGGGAAAGCGGGGAGCTCGAAAACTGCAGAGCTGAAAGATGCTATGGGTTTTGCAAAACAAAAGTGAACTGTATGTGGGAGGCGGACCTAATCTCAGCAAAACCCGGAGCTCAAAGCGGGACCCCAAGCCCGCAGCACCTCAACTCAGTTTAAGGACTCCGCTGCCCACATTGTGCAACCGTCACCTTTTGGATGTTTCGAACTGGGGGTGCAATCTTAGCTTAAGAGAGAGGCTCGAGGGGCCTGACTGGTGCGGGTGCCGTGAGGGTGTTTGGACGCAGTCGGAGGGATCCGGAGGTGCTGTACCCTTGCTCCGGCTTCACCCCCGGCGGCCGCGAGCGCGCTGGGGGAGAGAGCGTTCAGAAGAGGCTTCTCCCTGGCCTCCAAGCTTGCTCAAACTCCAGCCGCCAGAGCCTCGGTCCTGGGACCAGATGAGCAGATGGAGGGAGAAGTCTCTTCCCGGAAAGAGTATAGATTTCACTGTCTTGCTCCCTCAAAGTTGTTTTGTGGCTTTGGTTAGTTACTTTTTCCTTTTTTCTTCTCTTTGGCTGAAAGACTTGTTCTAAGTCAGAAGAGAACAAAAATTTGCCTGTCCTGGCCCCGTGGGTGCACAAAATCCCATATGCACATGCAGCCGAAAACTCTGGAACCTGACAGCGGTAGGAAGCAGGGATTTTAGGATTCTGAGACAAGTTCCTAAATAAACCCAGAAATTTACAGTGGGGGAGGGCCCGAGGGACTCCCACCTTAGGAGCAAAGGCAGCTCCCGAGGGAGAGTCGGGAAGGGTGCTGGGTCCTTGTAGTCCAGGGTCTATTTCTCTGGGAACCAAAATCTCCCCAAACCTCACCCCAGAAGTTCACCGGCACCAGTTGCAGGGCCCCAAACTGCGGCTGCCGCCACCCTCTGCCCCAGGAGTCCTCACGCTGGACTCGTCAGTCCTGGCTCTTCTTTTTCTTCTTCCTTTTTGTTTTTATTTTTTATCCTTTAAATATAAGACAAAAATACACCTCATTTATCATCATAGATATATATATTTCACTCTCACCACATAAATACAAAACATCCAAATAGCCAAAACATTCAGAACAAAGTTAGTAGCCAGGATTCAGTGACACCTACCCGCGTTTGAATCATTCATTATTTTTTCACTATTTGCCTAAAAAAAAAAAAAAAAAAAAAAAAAAAGAAAGAAAAGAAAGAAAAAGAAAAAGAAAAAAGGAAAAAAAGCTTCCAGCGTAAATAATTTACAATAAAGTTACTATTTTAAAAAATGGTTTGCGCTCGTTTCGGATGGACAAATACATTCTAGACACTGCGGCATCTCGCGGTCTGGGTCTGTGATTTTTGGTTAAAATGCGGGTGGCTGCGGCTGTAGGGACTGTCGTTGCTGCGCGGGGTAGGGGTGAAGCCGAGCCACCGTGGCAGTCGGGCTTGGACTTGGGACCACTGAAATCCTGGGGTTGGGGAGTGACAGTGAATGCCTTTCCTATTAGCCTCGCAGGAAACCACTGGAATCCGAGGGACTACCCGGCAGCGCGCCTACCTCCCCTTACGAAAAGAACTTCGCTGAAAACCAGGCAATTCCTGCGTGGTTGAAAGATGTTATTAATCTGGGAATGTGGAAGTGGAGGCAATGGGTGTTGAGATTCGTTTCCAAACCCAGCAATTCTTCCCGGAGCCACGCTCCTGGGCGGTCGTGGGGCGAGGCGCTGAGGTGGGGACAACTGCCTGTGGCCGGGCCGGGTTCTCCAGAAGGAGCGGCAGGCTGTCCCACACGGCTCCAAACAGCCTTGAAGAAAAGATTCTGACTTTACTGGCGACGTTTCCTTTGCTTTCCTCACTTTAAATTCCTATTTAAAGTCAAAACACCCAGAACTTTTAATTCTGCATTGCCCTGCGGCGCATTCTCTATTCTGATTTCTTACAACTTCCAAACTCCATTATTACAAATACTTAAAAACTGGTTCCATTTCACCTGGTTTGATGTAGTAGTTACTACTCTTTATTGCTGATTAGATCAAATTTATTACCACCGTTGCCTACTATGATGATTGGTGTATTGTTTCCTGGGATCTGGGAGGCTGTGATAGGAGTTTCCCTAAACGGGAGAAAACTCGGCAGAAAGTGTCCGCCAGGAAGCTAAGAGTGCACCGACATTTCCGAGAGGTCCACAAAGCGGGGCCCAGGCGCTCCCAAAAGCCCTGGTTTCTCTAGCAAGAGGAAGAAACGTCCTCCGTTTTGGTCTAAAGAAGCTTGCATGCTTTTTCAGCCCCTGGGGTCTGCGTAAAGCTTTCCTCTTTCAAATATTCATAGGAATAATCCGCAGCGGCGGCAGCCCAATCTAGAGCAGGTGTCCTGTGCCGTGGACTTAGAACCAGTCTTTTCCCTCCAGGGCTGAGGATTGGTTGGGACACCAGGTTGGCTAATTCGGGTAGTTCCCTCAATTCTTTGGATCGCTCCAGGATTCAGAAAGAAGGGGGCGGGGGCGGGGGAAAGAGAGCCCAAGTGAGATGCAGAGCTTGGTGGGAAAGGAGCTGTCAGAGGCCTGGTGGAGGCAGGAGACCAGCGCAGGAGCCCTGGGCGCCTAACGCGCGCGAATCCATAAATATCACCACAATAGATACCATAAATATAAATACAGGGAAACACGTAAAATCAGTCCAGCGCTTTTTTCTCGGCCCCTTCTTTATTGTTGGTCCGGGAGTAAGGCTCGAAGGCCGAGGAGCTCAGGTACCTGGCGGAGAGTTCTTGTAAATTCCCGGCTAGCGAACCAGCCATTGTCAACGGGGCGGAAGACAGGCGGCTGGCGACCGAGCCGAGCAGCGAGGGCACCGGCAGGCTGAAGAGGCCGTGGCCCGCGGCCGGCGCTCCCGCG